GGGATCACCCTGATCTCTGGGGGTAGTTCATTCCAGAGGGTGGGAGCTCCCACAGAGAAGGCCCTCCCCCTTGGGGTCGCCAGCCGGCACTGTCTGGCCGACGGCACCCTGAGGAGACCCACTCTGTGGGAGCGTACAGGCCGATGGGAGGTAATCTGTGGCAGGAGGCGGTCTCGAAGATATCCAGGTCCGATGCCATTATTTGAGAGAAAGACAGAATGGAGGACATTATTATGCTAGTCTTCATGAATTATGTATCTTGCCTTATTTCAGGAGTATTGATGTGGGAGGTATTCTCTGAAGGCAAAACTCCTTATGAGAATCGGACAAATGCTGAGGTGGTAGAAGAAGTCAGTGCTGGCCTCCGATTGTATAAACCCAGACTTGCTTCCAATAGCATTTATAATCTTATGCAACATTGTTGGAATGAGGTTAGTACACCCTATTTCATGCAAGAAAGATGTAAGAATGAAGTAATATATTCTCTATTGAGTCATCCAACTCTTGGTGATTTCATGGACCTGACCGTAAAGTCAGTAGAGAAGAGGTTTCTCACAAAATGGCATTCTATTATCTATCTATTAAGGATATAACTAAGTTGTTATCTGGAAGTTTTATTATTGAAAAAAATGTAATTATTCAACTACACGTATTCTAACTAAGATATAGGGGCCATATAAATGTTACTACTTAGTGTTTATTAAATTACAAGTATCTGTGATCACTTATCAAGAGTTTCTGTCAATGGGGAAATGCCAAAAAGAGGCAAATATTCATCTTTAACATGGAATGTGGGATTAAAAAAAACATTATTTAGAATGGCTTATTTTATCTTTGGATTTTAAATTATACTTATTTAAGAATAGGGTTAAATATCTTTCTTGTAAAGTTGGACCATTCATCTAGTAGCATAATTCTTTGTTATGGATTTCCCTTCTGACTTCCTATCAGTTACAAATGGCTTCACCTCCAGGAGGGAGGAAATTATCAATACATTTGCTACTGAAGAACACCATGATAGTCTCTTGAATTCATCAATGTGCAGTATTCATCTAAAATGTTATTTTGTTATAAACTTTTTTTCATAATTGCCATTCTAGTGCACTCATAAATTAGCACTTAATTCTCTTTTCTTGTTTTTTTTCTTCTTCAGAAGCAAAACGACAGACCACCTTTTTCTCACCTGCTCTGCCATCTCAATGAAATTTCTGAATCTGATCTTTAAGAATGAGTGGATTTGAAAAGATATGAAAAACATACATTTTTGTAATCATTATATCTTGAAGGAGTAACAAACTGCGACTGAGATACTAAGAAGACTCTTGGCCTTCTGAGAAAATTGAGAACCAAGAAAGTGGACAGTTCAAGATACAGGAAAATAGTCTGGTGTGCTGTTCCTTGTCTGAGAGAGAGAGAGAGAGAATGGAATAGGCTTCTTTGATTTTCATTCTAATTTGGCTGCAGTGAAATGAATCCTTGCATCTTTCATTCACTGATTCTATAATTACACTATTATGGACAGATTCAGGAAATACAGCTGAATCAATTATCTGAGATTTCTTAAGCTAAAGTTATTGATATGCTTTTTGTCAGTTTCATTAAAAGTTGCCATGAATATAAAGGCATCCACTTATTTTTTGTGGAATTGCCCCAAATATAAAGATTGCTTTTATAAAGTTATTCTGAACTATTCTTATGCAACTCGGTCTGATCTGTTTGTGACTGCAAGTGTAATTCTTTATTTTTGTCAGAAATATATTGAACATATTTTTAACCATTCCTTTAAAAATAAGCACTATGTAACTTTGCTTAGTGTAAATCACTTATGGGGCTGAAATCTAGCTGAATTCATCTTCTCTGGGGTTTGCTACATCTTACTCTTTCAAGGAGGAGAAAACTATTGGAGATTGTAGACTATATAAAATTTTGTATTTCTGAATTAACATTTATTTTCCACCACACATACATATCAACAAACAGTAAAAGGAATAAATTGCAATAATGTTTGTAAAACATTAACATTCCAAATAAATAATGCTGTAAAGGGTGCTTCTCAGGCATTCAGCTTCAATTTCTCAGGGTAACAGTCACAGACCCTGAGCTTGAAGAAATATTGACCATTAGATGGAAAAGTAAATTGTTCCAGAAATAGTCTGATGTATTGAAAGGGTAGATAAAAATAGTGGAAGAATTCTGGCACATCTATATATTTTTGGATTTCGTGTTATAAAGGCCTGGATACCCACAGGGGAGCCAGTGATATAATGTCGTCAAGCAAAGTATAAATTGATGTCGTCAAGCAAAGTATAAATTGCATGTTTTGGACATGTTACTTCAGGGGTCTTCAAACCTGGCCCTTTTATGACTTGTGGACTTCAACTCCCAGAATTCCTCAGCCAGTATGCCTGGCTGAGGAATTCTGGGAGTTGAAGTCCACAAGTCATAAAAGGGCCAAGTTTGAAGACCCCTGTGGTTACTTGCTTAATGATGTCAAGGTGCCCATTTTGTTATATATATCCATAAAGTCCAATTACACTGTGCATTATTTTTCTAACTCTTAAATTATGAGTTAGTTCCTTGAAAGTATATTTGTAGTAATATCACAGCTTCATAAAATGTTATATTAATGACTTTTTTTAGTTGCATCGAAATGATATATAGCTGTGCCAAAGCGGGTTTATTAAAGTCCTTCATTTATTAACCGTTTAGGAGGGGATGTACAATTCTTTATCCTGGTTATTTTAGGGATGGTTTAAAATGATTGAACTCTATTTGAAAGGAATTGCTATTGAAGGATTTTGTAGATAATTGCTGTATGTTTTATATTATGCTTATATTTTAAATGTGTTGTCCACTTTGAGCATTGTTAAAATATTAAATATGTTTTTAAGCTAAGAAATAAACAATGGCGTTATACATATTTATAAAATGTGATGTAGATGTGCATCATCTGTATAAAGTTTCATTTAATTTAGTTAATGAATAATTCTAAAATATGAATTTTAAAATAAATGACATGAATCTAAGCTATGTACCTAAAGTGCACTTTTAATTAAAATGTTCCTGGTTTATCTGTGTTACATCACTCATCCAGTTGCAAGTCCAGTCATGTACTCAGAGAATTCTGTGTACAGCCCACTGAGGTAGTCCAACTTACCGAAATGTGTGCCTTTCTGGTATGTTGAAATTCAGTTCCCATAAACCCCTTTCAACGTGGTTCCCCCTGTCCAGTACCCCGAGAGAGACTGTAGCTTCAAGGTTTTTTTCAGACAGAACTCTAAAATCGATTTCCTTCCAAAGTATTTATTGTAACACACTTACAGGAAGAGAAAATGTTTAAGGAACGGGGTGAAGAAGAACTTGCATCAGTTTTAAAGAGGACAGTCCGTCCATATTCCACATGTAAAATACAAGTTTGCTCGGTTTGGGAATGACAGATGCAACTCTGTTCTTTTATTCTTTTTAAACTGAGGATGGGGATGCCCCAAGATTTTCCACTAGAATTAGACAATGGTGTTTGTGTGTGTGTGTGTGTGTGTGTGTGTGTGATTTTTTTTTTTTTAAAAAAAGGAGAAGTATGAATGAGTCCTTGTCTAATTAACAGGTGCGAACTGCTCATCTGGACAAGAGTGTGGCTTCTTGAGGGGTAAGCAGCCGGCGGACGGGCGGGCATGCAGGCTGGCTGGCAGGCGATGGAGAGGCAGGTTTCTTTCTCTCGGCGGGTGGGAATCATTTTAAAGCAAGAGCTCAGGAAGTCTACCCCGGCTACAGCCCGGTCGGCTCCTGCTCTGCGTGTGCGAGAAAGACACAAATAGATTCAAAGCAGCAGCGATAGAGGGAGGGGGAGGAGGCGGCGGCTGTGGCGGCGGAGGTGGAGACTGCCGAGTGGTGGCAGCGGCGGCGGCGGCGGCGTCGACGCTGTAGCATCCCTGTCTCCTTCTCCGCTGTAGCCGCCGTTGAGCCCAACCGCAGAGGCCGGGTAAGCATCCTTCCTCTCACGCCAGGTAAGCCACGGGGCTCCCCGCTATTTGTACTCCCGGGAACCTCGCGGTTTCTCCTTGCCTCGGGCTCGGAGAGCCACCCTGGAGCATGAGGCGGGGGGCCGAGATTGCTGCTCCGGCGGCTGGCAAGCGGGATTGTGTGTATTTGTGTGTGTGGTGTGGGGGGTGCTGTTCGGGTTGATGGAAGGCAGAAGACCTGCAGATGCATGAAGGCGGGGGAGGGGAGGGGAGACGCTAAATCGAGGGGCAAAGCCGCAGGTGTAGCTTTGAGGAAGCGGGGCGCGGGAACCGAGACTCTCCCTTCATTCTCCGCCGCCCACTCTTCATTTATCCGCCTCCGGCCTCCTCCACAACCCTTCCGATCGCTAGGCTTGGCGGCCTTTGGGTGGGTTGACGGGTGCGAGGGAGGTGGAGGCGGCTGCCGCCGAGAGCTGGCGGTGACAGCTTGGCTGCTGCAGAGGCTGCCCCGATTCCAGCCCTTCTGCAACAGGCTCTTAAGAGACCCCGGATGACGGGGGGGGGGGAGGGAGGAGGAATGAGGGGGGGCACAAGCAGGTGCGACTGTCATTCTGCTGGGAGAGCGGGCCCGGCTAGCCCCCTCGGGAAAGAGGATTTTACGAGCGATATCCCAGAATGCTTAGAGATACCTATGCTGTGCATTGAGGCCTCCTTGTTTATAAGAGTGCATCAAGCAACTGCCATGTGATCAGCCTTTTTATTGATGTCTTGCGTGAAAAAAACATACGTGATCCGAGGCTGGGTTTTCCATGCCATGAAATGCTAATTGGATCTTTGTTAACAACACACACGTCAGATTGAATTAAGGGATGGCTTTGGGGATTAAATTAAATCCCACGCTGTTGGAGAAATCATTGCTATTTTAGTCTTTTCTTTCTTTCTTTCTTTCTTTCTTTCTTTCTTTCTTTCTTTCTTTCTTTCTTTCTTTCAAAATAAAAAGTGTGATGCATAGGAACAAACATCGGGGAGGGGCGTGAGGAAACGGAATCACAGCAGGTGTATTTCTCAACTTGAAAATACAAAAGATGCTTGGGGTGGTTCAATATGCAAAATAAGCGAAATTATCTAAGTCATGCTTATTTGGACTTGTTTCTCGACCATCTTGCTCTTAATGGAGTCTTTAAAGAAAAGGTTCGATAAAGGGGAATTTGGATTAGAATTTCAGGATTGAAAGCTGAAATGGGCTATAACAATTTATTATTTTTATGTGTCATTTAAATTCTATCCTTGAGGATACCTTAGGTATGAGGCAAATGTTTGTGCCTATAAAGCCTGAGTGGGTTCGAAATCAGCTATTTGCTAGTGCCAGACAACAGCTAAATAAGGTTTGCAATGAATTGTACTGTCAGTCATAGCTGAGATCTCTGAAATAAAAAGGGAAAAGGACATATAGAAAGGAATGGCCTTGTGCAAAAGATTTTGGAGTTTTCAGGTAAAAAACGAGATTGCTGTTAGTGAAACAGAAGGCCTCCTGAGCCATCTGTTGCTGTCACTATGGTGGCTCAGGGATTTCCCATCACAAAAATTTCAAGAAATGAGATTGACTTAACTACAGGAAATGGAAAGAGAGGCATGCAGAGATCTGTCGTTATTCCTAGGCTATTTTGTTAGAAGAAACATTAGACTTTGTGGATAAAAAATATTTTTGGCTGGTATAATACAAGAAATCAGCCTACTTTAATCTGCATTGAAATAAAGTTTCAGCTAACACCAGCATTCAAAGTAAAATAAATTCTCCAACCCAATGGCCAAACAACCAATGATATTCTTCCAAATTAGCACAATTAAACTTAATTTTCAGTGTGTGCATTTGGGTATGTACTGTATAAGTACCTTTTCTTCAAGCCCATCTTCCTTTCCTGGAATCTGTTATTTGCCCATGAATGCTTTTCTTTGCCATTTGAGGCTCAGATCTATTCATTCACTTACTGAATTCAGGAAGACTTTCTTCTAAATAACTTTCTGTCTCTTTTTTTATTTTATTATGTTTTTGTCCTATTTTGTGACCAAGATGATATCCAAGGCTACTTACAATAATAAAAAGCAATCAGTAGGGCTCCAAATACAATTTTTACACTACAGTGAATAAAAAGTAGATGTAAAACTAAATTTCATTACAAGAACCAAAAGGTCAGCTTCATCTTTTATCAATGGTTTATCAATAGTTGTTCATCGTGAAAAAACATTCATAAAAAGATGAGGTTAT